GCGAGCCGTGACCTTCCTGGGGAAACCCCGGGACGGGTCAGCTCCTTCAGCCTGAAAAATAGGGCAACTCCGAGGCCACTTCCTTCGAGGTTCTGGCGGAGACCCCGGGGGAGCCCGCAGGCCGGACGGGGAGCCTGCTGCTCTGGTTTCATGCCCTGGACTTGGGTCAGGCCGGCCCGGAGCCCCGGCTCCCTCTGCCCGGCTCAGGGTGGGAGTGGGGGCTCTGGGCGGACTCCCTGGTAGGGACCCCCCAGGCCCTGCTTCCCCCTGGGGCTCCCTTCCGAGATCAGCCGTGACTCGGCCTCGGCCACGGACAGGAGGCCGCTGCGCCTCAGGAGGCCGGACGTCCCACCCCAGGACAGCGACGGCCAGCCAGAGGCCCTGGGGAGCTCAGAGGCAACCACGTGGCCGCTTGGCACAGAGGACAGCCGGCCTACGGCGGCCCCGGGCCCTCTGCTGTGCCTCACAGACACGGAGCTGAGGGGCAGAGCTGGGTGGAGGGGCAGCCACCCTCCCGGGCCCCCACGGAGTCAGGGGCTGCAAGCTTCCCCGGGCTGGTCACCGCGGCTCCGCAGGAAGACTGTCTCCAGGGACAAGATAGCCACCCCCCGCCCACCCCGCACGGCCCTGAAACTTCATGGGGCAACAGGTAGCAGGGACTGGGGGCTGGGGGGCTCGGGGGGCTGGTCTGATGCTGATGTGAGTGAACCGGGGCTGAGCCACCTTCTGTCACCTGCCCCACCCTCGTCTGCAGAGGGGGGCTCGTGGGGCCCACCTATGCAGTTTAGAGAGCATGCTGGGGCATGAGGGACGCTGTCCCGGGGTCTCCTGGGACCCAGCGTTGTGTGCAGCTGAGTGCACACGGGTGCATACGTGGGCTGTGCCCTCCGTGGGAGTAAACACACACGTGCACCCGCTACCAACCACACGCACACTCACGCAGGCACATATGTGCACACACACACGCACACACCTGCACAAACACATACACACACGCACTCGGGCACATGGACGCACACACACCTGTGCAAGCACAGCCACTCGGGCGCACGGATGCACGCACACAGCTACGCACAGGCCTGTGCAGGCCTGGCCCCTCCTCCACCCTGGGCCTTGCAACCAGAGCCCCGGGCCAGGCCCAGACACCACCGGGCGGAACATGACCCGAGGCTGCAAGTGAAGGGCCCCCCCCACCTCGCCCCGCCCCGTGGGCACCGCCCGCCTCGTCATTCGGCCGCCTTCACCTGATGTCCCGGTGGGGATGTGCCCCATGGGAGGAACTCCACCCTCTCAAACATCCAAGGGACAGGGCGCTGGGGCTGCCGGGGCGCCCGCGGGCCTGGTGCCCAGCCTGTCCCTGGCCCAGCTGTCGGCTGCCTCAGGGCCCGAGAAGGTTCTCGCGTTCCCTCCCGGCGGGCAGCAGCTCCGATCCGTCCACCCCGCAGTCCCGGACCAGGAGTGTCCTGGAGCCCCAGCCCTCCCGCCCTCTGTGGGCGCGGGCCTCACCTCTGGCTGGCGCTCAGGACGTCCAGGATGTTGGAGAAGAGGTGATGACGCTCCATCTGGGTCATCGTTGCCTGCAGCTCCCCGGACTGCAGGAACTCGGCCACCAGGATGCCCAGGCTGTGCTGGTACGAGAACTCCGACGTGAGGATCTCAAAGATGGCCTGGCGGGGAGGACAGCAGCTGCTGGGGCCACCCTGCGCCTCGGGGGTGCGGTCAGGGTGCAGGACGGGCCGGACCCGGGGCAAGGCTGGGAGCGTGGCCGTGGGGACAAGAGCCCGACACCTGGGTACGTGCTCTGGCTCAGCGGCTACGAGCCGTGATGCTGGCGAGGACTCGCACCCGCATCCGAGAAGGGGCGACAGTAGGCCCCGCCACCCCGCCAAGGGCATCAGCCATTGTCCCAGTGCCCGGCCCAGGAGGTGTCCCCATGACCACTGTCCCCTGTGCGTTGTGTGACCCAAGCCAAGTCTTGGGCACAGGACTGGACCCCCCCCCCCGCCCCCAGCCCCCTTACTTCCTGCCTCTTGCGCTCCTCAGCAGGCAGCCTGTCCAGGATGCCGGACTCCACCACCTGAGGGGGGCACAGGCCTAGGGGTCACGGGGTGCTCATCCCGGAAGCCCATCCTCCCTTCCAGAGAGCCCCGGGGCGGCTGAGGAACGAGACAGGCATCTGGAGGGGATGGCCGACAGACACCCGAGGGTGGGGAGTGTGGGCTCCGGCCCCTAGAGCTGTCCCGGGGGCCGAGAGGCCCAAAGCCACCCAGGAGAGCTGAGTGGCGAGCCACGGCCATGACTCAGACACACCTGGCCCAGGGGGGCGTGTGGCCTGCCCGGGAGGTAGGGGAGGCGTTCCAGCTCTCCACCCCTGCAGGCCCAGCGGCCCTTGGCTGCCCTGGCTCGCGTGCTGCCCATCCGGCCACAGCGTGTCCACGGTGGCCCTGCAGAGCCGGCCAGGCCGCCCCACGGCCCAGGGGCACCCCCCTGCAGGACCCAGGGCCACCTGATCCTTGCCCTCCTCCCCTCTGGGCTGGCCAGAGGCCGTCACCAGCACCTGGGCCGGGAGTTGGGGGGCCGGGCAATCCCCTGCCTCCTTGTCCAGCCCAGAGGCTTGGCTGAGATCCCCCGAGCTCGGCCAGGAAGAGAATCTGCCAGCATTTTGAGGGTGCGGGGTCCTGGACCATCTATGCCAGGAGACCACCCACACACCCAGGCTGCGTGCAGCTCTGTCCCTGGGCCCTCGGGGGACAGGTCACCAGCGCTTGCCCTCCTGGGGTAGTGGCAGGCACCTCCCCACACACACCTGCTCAGAGCACCAGGGCCTCTGTCCCAGCCAAGCTCTCCCCGGAGACCCCCACAGCCCTAGGGCAGGGCCCTCGCCCTTCCCCTGCCGTCTCCCCCTTGGACCCTCCTGCCGCTTTCCAGGGCCTCGGAGGGGGGTCCTTCTGCCCACAGCTCCGCAGGCCACTCTGGGTCGGGCGAGGGCCAGGGGCTCACCTGTGGGGGGCTCGTCACACATGCGCTGATGGCACGGGCCCCTAGCTGCTCTCCTTCCCTCGGGACCAAACCCAAAGTGCCCTTGGAGCAGGGCGGCTCTGAGGGTGCCAGGAAGGGGGGCCCCCTGCAAGCTGGGCATAGGAGGGTACTTCTGGAAGCCTCCTCCCCTCACTGGGAGGAGGACCCCGACCGGCTTTGAGGGGCCAATCGCCCGTGGGCTCGGACGCAGAGCGTCACCCCACCGTCCTGGCCTCACCTCCGGGAGCTGGCTCCAGGTGATCTGCGCCGGCCGGTAGCTCTTGACCACGATGGGGGCGTCCGCCTTCCCGGTTCCGTCGGGGCTGGACGGCTCGTCGAGCAGGTCGTCGTCAGACTCATGGCTGGTGTTGAGGCCCCGCTCCCGGATCTCCTGGTAGAACCTGGGGTCTGGGGACAGGGGGTGTGTCACCGGCAGGCCTGGGGGCTCTGAGCGGGTTCCCCCCTGGAATCTGCGGGCTGAGTCCTCCCCGGGAGACCCTGAGGGCATCAGGCGGCTCAGGGCCCCCCACAGCAGGCTCCCCTCAGGCTGGCTGGCTCCCATGGCTGTGCCCGGCCGAGCCCTGGACAGGGCTGGTGTTCCCATGTAGAATGTGGCACCTTCAGACCAGGGCCGAGCTGACCAATCAGAGCCGTGGGGGCCGCCCTCGGTGGGGGCTGCTCCCAGGCTGGGCCGAGAGCAGTGGACGCCTGTCCCCGAGTCCTCCGACCCGAGGTGCGGTCTCCCGCTCTCCCACTCTGCAGCCATCACCAAACCCCCTGCCCCCCGGGGGCCAGCTGGCGCCTGGCTCAGGGCCACCAACCCTAACCCTTCTCTTCCTGTCCTGGCTCTGAGACTGGGCACCAC